AGCGGAACAAAACACAAAAATACCGCATCCAAACCGAAGTGATGAACAGTTCGATATCTTGCTTCTGAGTACACTACCGTTCGTTCCCAGTTGTCTGCTAGACAATTTTCCAATTCTAAAAAACTAACAAATAACAATGCACGGATATGGCTTTAATGCTATGCACATAAACTTGTTCCCGGTGATACTTAATCAGTATCCTGAAAGTCGAAAAACGCTTTGATTTTAAACATGTAGGATTTAAATTATGAGCCGTTTTTTTACCTTGTTTTTGGTGTTACAACCCCATTACCCCAAACAATTAATGTAAAGTTTGTAAAAAATTACCACTTATTTTTGTTTTCAGTTACAACGGTTCAGTTAGAAAAAAAAAAAAAACATATACGGGGGTGACCCGTAAGTAACCAGAATGCATTTTGGGGGGGGGGGGGTCGGGCAGACCGTATTACCATTTTCCTCCGCTAACACTCTTAGCGGCACCCCTTCCGAGTTAGTTTTCCGAGTGGCGTCGTATGACGAAGTTCTAGCGGCATGTTTGGGTTCCAACTTTATTGTGAAAGGGACGTCCACTCCGGGGCTAAGAGGGGGGCATGATGGCTTTCTTTACCCGGGGCTCTTGAGTGTTGTCTGGATGTGAGGGGTCAGGGCCCGCTGAAAGGGGAAATATAGCGATGCCGGGGGAATGAGCTCTACCGCCAGTGTCCCGGGGCGCTGATGATGGGGGAAGGAGGCGGGAGCATTGAAGCGGGAGGAGAGGGTGGACGGGTAGTCCAAGAGGAGGTTAGGGATATCTGGAAAGTCACCACAGGGGGGGGGGGGGGGGGGGGGGGGGATTGGGGCGCCAAGGAGTAATCGGTAATAGGGAAGCAGGTGGGGGCCAGGAGGAAAGAGGTTTTCGCTAAGCGACATAAGGTACCTTCTAGCCTAGATAAGGATAGGTCGGAAAATGAAATGATTCTGAGGCTCGCGTAAGTAACCCAGGGCTTCAGGTCGCTGAAGCCGTTCTGAAATTAGATCCTCTAGAGGGTCATACCAACTCACTCCAGCACAAGCGGGTACTGCTAATGTGTAACATGCCAAGGAGTGGGCTGCCTCATTCCCATGAACGCCCTAGTGATTTGAAACCCACTGGAGGGTGGGTCAGTGGGTTCAACTCCCTCCTCCCGAGTGTAGGATTTGGACCCACCGACAGAACTGGACGGTGGGGTAGGATCCACTGACAAAACCTTCCAGCAAGTGCAGGAGTTGCTAGAAGACCACTTCAGTCCGGAGTATTCCGTAATTGCCGAACGCTGCAAATTCAACAGGCGAATGCACCAAGAAGGTTAAAGCGTGAAGGATTTTATGACAGAATTGAAGCACCTAGCACGCAACTGCGAATTCAAGGCATTTGTGAATGAATCTTTGAGAAATTGCCTAGTAGCAGGCTCGCGCGGCGAAGAGACACAGATAATATTGTCTGCTACGGAGGGTCTTACTTTTGAAGACGCATGTAAAATAGCTCTTGAAAAGGAACTCGCATTGAGGCGAACCAGCGAGCAGCGTACAGCAGAAGCGAAACCGACAGAAGTTCACCCTATCAGCGGCAGCACATGCGGGAAAACGCACGCTTCACGATCAAAGAACGAAGAAAAGAAAAACAAGCGGGAAACTCAGGCGTCACGATTGAAGAATGAAGGCGCATCAAAGGCGAAACGCGGTTGTTATCGCTGTGTGAAAGGACACGCGCTAGACCGATGCTCAAGGAGGTTATAAGTACTAGGGCAAGAAACGTTGCAATATTGGTAAAGCCAGGTCATAAAAAAGTTTAAACGATGTTGTGGCCAACGTGACTGTAGACCTCTCGCAATTGGTGCGCGTGACATGTTACTAGTGAGATGGATGGTTGATTCTAGAAGGATTCCCTGCAAGCTCGCGCGAGCTCCGTCCGGTAGGTTTTATCAGATCGAAGGCTACACGAGGGCTAGCTACGGTCACGTGCTGTGGTCACGTTGACCTCATAAGTGAGGAGGGTAAGGAGGAAAATGAGAAAGAGGCGAGGCGTCAAGGGAGCACGGCTTGTGGAGGCTACGCGGCTGACCTCATGCCCTCTCCTACCCTTTTATACTCCGTGACTGCCTGGAGCGGAGCTGGTTGGTGTGACATGATTCTGAAGGTTTCCAGCTGAACGTAGAATGTATCGAAATACCCAATGCCGGGCGTGCGCAAAGACAGGACATTTGGAAGCAATGTTCCAAGAATAGAAATGGCGTCCGATAATCCATGTAATTGTCGATACGTCAGACAACGACTCCGAAGCATCGCAAGTTTATCACTTCGTGCTCTGTGCAGCAAGCGACAAACTTGGGTACAAGGTTTCCGTAAACATTGAATTGAAGCCGATCTCTATGCTGCTGGACACGGGCGCAGCAGTTACACTGATTCCTGAAAGCGTCTACAAGCCGAACTTCGCGGAAGTCGCATGCCAACCAACGAAGGTTTCCTGTAGAATATACACTGGAGAAATCTTGAAGGTAAAAGAAAAGACCGCTGCCAACGTAGAGCATAGTGGACGCAGCGCGACGCTTCCCCTTTTCCTGGTAGAAGGTAACCAAAGAACTCTACCCGCACTACTAGGTCGCAACCGGTTAGACGAGTTGAAACTTGATTCAAACGCCGTCTGTGCAGTAACAGAGGAAGACAAAGTCAAGTCTCTAAAGGGGAAGTTTTGAGAAGTCTTCCGTAGCATACCTAGAGGTATGTCCAACTACGATACAAGGGCCGTCCTTAAAGCGAGCAGCACACCAGTGTACTGCAAGGCGAGGCATACAACATTCGCAACCAAAGAGGCCGTTGCGGCAGAACTACGCCGGTTAGAAAACGACGTCATCGTGAAACGAGTGACCCGCAGTGACTGGACAATCCATGTTGTAGTCGTTGCAAAGCGCGGCGGAGGAATAAGGCTCGACGGAGACTATAAAATAATCATAAACCAAGTACCAAAGACTAACTGCTACCCGCTACCGCTGGCGGAAGACCTCTACTCCATGCTTGCTGGTGGCAATGTGTCTTGCGTCTTGGTCTTGTCCCCCCTTTCCAGCAGGTGCCACTCAATGAAGAAGCCAAGACCCTGCTCACGATTAACACCCATTTGGGACTCTGAATATCGGAGTCCGTTTGGAATCGCCAGTGCGCCCGCAATCTTCCAGGCACTGCTGGACAAGGTTCAGGAAGGCATCTCTAACGTAGGATGTTACGTAGTTGATGTTATCGTCATGGGCAGTAGCAAGCAAGACTGCCACAACTCAGTCACAAACATTTTGTGACGGCTAAGAGACTATAACATCACGCCCAAGAAAAAAAAAATGTGAATTCTTTCGCGACTCGGTTGTTTACTTGAGTCATAAACTTTCGGCCGAAGGCATCTACCCGACATAAACAAAAATCAAGACAATCCGAGAAGTACCCGAGCCAACAAACATTACAGAACTGAGAGCTTATATCTAAGACTTTTGACCTTCTACGCCAAGATCTTAAGAAATTTTGCGACGGCGGCCGAGCCCTTCGACTCACTGTTGAAGAAATAGCAAAAGTAGCGCTGGTCAAAACTGTGCACGAAGGCTTTCGAAGTCACGAAAGATATGATCATGAACAACGATATGCTCACATTCTTTGGCGAACCAAGCCCATTCGTCTCAGCTGTGATTCATCTGCATTCGGTCTGGGACCTGTGATTTTTCATGAAATGCCGGACGGAAATGAAGGGCGGATCGCGTTTCCCTCACGCACTCTCACAAGGAGTGAACGTGACAATGCGCAAGGAGAAAAGAAAGCGCTTGCTATTATTTTTGGCCTAAAAAGATTTCACACGTATTTGTATGGACGTAGCTTCAGTCTGTGCACTGATCATCACACTCTGGTTGACATTCTAGGACAGGATAAACCAGTTCCAACGCTAGCAGCCGCAAGAATCCGAAGATGGGCTGTAACACTGTCCGCATATCAGTACAAGCTCAAGTTCTGGAACGGCCACAGCTTGCAAGTTGTGGATGCGTTATCACGGCTGCCACTATAGGCGAAAGACAAGGATGTTGATCCAGAATGTCTAGCTGTTTTCGTCGCAATGCCGTTCACCGCCCAACAAGTAGCGAGGGAAACAAAGCGTGATTTGGTCTTCATGGCAGCTATCGACTACACGCTCTCGAGGTGGCCAGGAAAGTATCCCGAAGAAAGGGAAGCCTCCTTTGTGCGTAGGGACGAGCTGTCAGTGGAAGGAGGATGTTTGACTTGGGGATATCGGGTCGTCATTCCCAAAACCTTGCAAGCCTACGCGCTTGCTCTACTACACGAAGCCCACCCAGGTATGGCTCGGATGAAAATGTTAGCCCGGTCTTACGTTTGGTGGCCTCTTCTCGACTAGGAAGTGGAAGACACGGTACGTCTTTGTCGTATTTGCCAAAGCGTCCTCCAAGCGAAAACTCCCGGTCCATTGCAGCCGTAGCCCTATTCAACCAGAGTGTGGCAACGCGTTCACGCGGACAACGCAGTCAAAGACGGAGTTAAGCTGCTCGTGCTGGTCGACGCTTACTCCAAGTGGATCGATGTTTTCTGCACGAGTAAAACGACAAGCGCACAGACAGCCCAGAAATTAGACACACTCTTCGCAGCCTACGGCTATCCGGAGGAACTTGTAACTGACAACGGCCCACAGTTTACCTCGGACGAGTTTCAAGAGTTCCTGCAACGCCGCGGTATCAGGAATACGAGGACACCTCCCTACCACGCTGCATCGAACGGAGCCGCTGAAAGACTGGGGCGAACCACGAAGACAGCGCTGCTCAAGCGTTCTTTGCGACAACTTGGCAGGGGTGGAGCGCACAACCCAAGAGCGCCTTAACGATTTCTTGTTGTCGTACAGGTGCACACCAAACTCAGTGACGGCAAAGACTCCAGCGGAGCTCTTTCTAAAGCGACTGCCTTGCATGAAGTTGACTCTGCTCAAGTCATGCTTTGCAGGTGACATGGCATACCGTCAACAAAGGAGCGCCGACCAACTCAATCAGCAAAGAGAACCAGCGGAGTTCTTCTGCGTCAATGAAAAGGTTTACGTCAAAACAACGCGAGGAGAAGCCGAATCATGGCAGGAGGAAATCATAGAACAAGTCGCCAGCCCCGCTACGTACCTCGTAAGAGTAAAAGACAACGTGCGATTCACCCATTCTGACCACTTGCAGAAACGATGGTGTATTGCACCGAGACCACCTTTTACATCAGGTCAACACGTTACAGCGATCCCGGACAGCCGACCCGATGATCAACGCAACCCCTGGAAGCACAGCCAGCCAACAGAGGCCAGTTGTGCAGGTGAAGAGGTGCACGACCGTGCCCTATCATCAGCACAAGAACCTCAACTTCTTAACCAGGGATCACCGTACTCCGATAGCCAAGCCGAAGGCAAGAAGAAGTCATCACTAGCAACCTCATCTAATGGCGTTGCAGACTTCGTTGGTTTCAGACGGCTCCAGGCAACGCCGGAAAAGCGACGTCCACCGCCGCAAGGGTTCAAGGTGAAGCACCGGCACCGCGGCGAAGCAACCGCAACCGGCGACCTCCCGACAACTACCAACCAAGCCGATGATTACAGAGCGAAGGCCAAGTAGCCAAGATTGATTTACAAACCTTTGTTTTGCTAAGGAGGGAAGAGTGTCATGTATTAATAAACACGCTACCCTAACGTCAGCAACATGACGTCATCGCCATGATAGCAGCGACTATATAAGAGAGTATGCAACGAATAAACGTTTTTGTTCGATTCGCTCCAACATGAGTCTGGTGTCCTCATCTCGGCCTCGATAGAACAGGACTGCTGGTCAAAAACTTGTGAATTTGGAAATAAAAAAGGTGTGTAGTAATTTGTTTCCACCCAAGGACTTCAAACTCATTCTCTATCTTTTTCTATATCTGATTAGAAAACCTTCGAGATTCACAAAACGTTTTACATTTCCAGACTTTTCATTAAACGGGTGAAGAGAAAAAAGTCAACCGCGTCGAGGTCCAGTGAACAAGGGTGGGGGGGGGGGGGGGGGGGAGGTGCACTTCATGCCATTTTTGTTCAAAAATTTTTGCACTGTCAGGGTAGCGTGTGCTGGGTATTGTCGTGATAAAACCAGCACTCAAACTTTTCCTTGATATTGGGGCCTTTATGCTTCATTGAGTTGCGCGAGCGTCGCAAAGCTCCCAAGTAAAACACCTGATTAACAGTTTTACAAGGAGGAACAAACTCGGAGTGAACAATTTCCGAAGTTTCTTCTGTTTTCACCTTTTGAGGCAGTTGAGACTCGCCCTGAACTAGGTTGGCCGTCGATCAATAGTTCAACTGAATTTGAATCGAGAAAACCACTCACAGACCTGAAATTTCTTCATAGCATTTTTTTTTGTAAGCTGTCTGAAGCATATCAAAAGTTTGCGGAGCCATTTTCACTAAAGCAAAACAGTATTTTACGTCCACACGCTGTTCTTTCAAATCAAACATTGCAAAAACACGAGTGATAATTTTGAAGCGTCTGGAAAAAAAATCACAACGTGTCATTACCCTCATCAGCAGACGACGCCTGTCGGCAAAGTGTCTCGAAATGTGTGCAACTAACCACTCCTAGTGGTGGAAGCTGGGACTACGAATTGCGCGACGTTAATATACTAAAACCAATCACTTTTGCGTCGTCTCTCGTATACTCCTGCCAAACAAAAACTAAAAGGCCCTTCTTAGTGAATGTAGCTAAAAATCGACAAACCGCACCCAGCCGACTAAAACGCGCGGACATGAATTGCGAGCCAATTCTCTAGTGGCCAAAATCGCGTTGAAATAAATGTTATTCGAAGTTCTTACGTTGAAGAGGTGCAAAAAGGATTCATAGGAGCACTTTTTTATTCAAGCTCCATATCAAGAAACTTACTGTGGTGATTCTAACTAGAGACATTGCGGTCACCAAAATGTATTTATATCTTTTGATTTCAGGTCCGTCAGTACGCCGGTGAGTAACCCGAACTCTTTTACATCCTTCCTTTGAGCTCAAGATAGAACGACAATCAACCCTTTCATGTCCAGTTTACCGAGGAGCAACATTGCAAACTGTTTATTTCTTTCACTATCAAAATGTCGTTTTCAGACAGAAATGCCCGTTGTAGCTCTCAAGCAACTTTATGGTGTTTCACACAAAGAAACGTACATTGGGACGTGCGTCGGTCTTCCCAACCTAGAGAACGTTTTGTTTGGGTTGACAGTCATATGTATTTAAAGGCGCCACCAGTGTGGACACGATTATAAATATCACGTCCTGCATAGCTCGTTTATAAAAATTGATCTGAAACTGATACCGAGTTATAAGGACAATGGCGCATTACCATAAATAGTGATATTTCACGTGTGGCTAACTCCCACGTGGAATATGAACTGCTGTTACCCTGAAGCAACAATGGTAATTCGCGTCACTGCTTCTTCAAAAGATTTTGCTCGAGACTTAGCCATGTTGTTTTATTATGATATCCAGTGTGCATAATAACAACAATCACTATTTGTACTCTCGGAATAAATTGGGAAAACATTTGCGAATAACAGGCTGCTGGCGTGCTTACACATCATTGCGTAATTTTGTTTTTATTTCTCTGCTTAACATGTTTGTTTAAATCCTTTTTGAGCCGCCGCCTGTCGTGGCACTTGGTTAGGTAGGAGTTTATAAAAAAAACGTCGACGCTTTCTTGGCTTTTTACCGCCTGGATAAAGGGTGCGAAACAAAATCGAATGGTGTAATCTGAGCTAGTTGGTTACTCATTATGAAAAAAACCAGCTGAACTAAGGAAAAGGTAGAGATAGAAAGACACCCGACCAGCGATCGGGTGTCTTTCTTTCTATCTCTACCTTTTCCTTAGTTCAGCTGTTTTTTTTTCATAACAAAATCGAAGACTCACTAAAAGGGTTTCAGAGCTAATTTCTTTTTGTCTGACGGGAATACGTAGCGCAGAAAATGCAGCATGCATGCTTGCCTAGTTCCCAGCAAAAACTTCTTCAAAAACTTTGTATAATAAATAAAAAATATAAAAGCCAAACGTTGCCCATGCACAACATTCCACAATGGTACAACCAGTAAAATTAATTTATATTGTTCTTGAAAATTGTTTTTTCTTATATTCTTGAATCAAACCTGATATATGTATCTGTATTTTCATGAAGGCAGAGATTGGCACGAAAGGGTTAACAGAAAGTGAAGATCAAACAGATGTTAAGCACTTTATATTAAATATATTTTATTGCTTCCTGCAGGTCACAGAACTGAAGTTTCATATGCCAACTAAACCACATTGTTTGAAAAAAATTCTTATTACCTTACATTTAGTAGGTTAAGTTTCAGGTACCTGGCTGCCTTGTACTGCAGTCGTACATTTAATATTTTTACTGATTTCTTACCTTGGAGTGGTTAAGTATATATATATTCGTTATATCCTATTACATATTTTTAAATTCGCAAACAGTGAGAATATTTTAAATAGAAGAGGCTTTGTTTCTGGATAAACTACCGTTTTATTTTGCTAACAGAAAAAAAAAGAAGCGAAACACCACGGCCTTAAAGGTGCGCTAAATTCAATAGAGCAATAAAAGTGCATAATAGATGTGGATGACAGAGCTGTTCCTTGATATGCGCTTCAATTAGTGAGTCCTGAATGGTCGACAAAACATACGTCACGCACTTCCGGTTGAGTATGACTGAGCACGTTACGACTTCTTAAGACTGCTTACAACCCTTGCCAGTTTTGCGTATGCTTCCTAATTTTGAACGGATTCTTCCTCTACCCTTATCTTAAAACGATTGTGTCAATGTTGTAGGCTACCAATTCACATAAATAATGCGTAGACTGGACTGCGAAAATAGTTCAAAATTTCAGGTCTTGTGGAAGGCTGGAAGCGGTAAAGTGCTTTTCTGCACGCTAATGTCACCGCGTTTGAAGTCCGCGCAACGTATGGTTGCAAAAAGCAAGGTGTGGTAATGCAGCTCGTCACATTTAGACGCACATGTCTGATTTAGGCTTATGTTTCAATGAACATATTTCAAAATGTCTGAACCACAACTTTAATATGTCATCACGAATTTATTCAAATTGTTAAAATATATTTTGCATGACGAAGTACGAAGCGAAAAATTCATACCGACCCCTTATTCATCTTTGGACGGTGCCTGTATAATTATGTACCAAATAATGCCGGGAAGCAGAATATTTAATGGAAACTTGGCTTGAAAAGAGTGTATATTAATTTAGACTCTCTAATCATTGAATCACTAAACCATGTGTAATTTTTACTTTCTTTAAAAGCAGGGGAGCCAGATGGCTTTGATCTCGACAAAGCGGTCGAGAGTTTCGTGAAGCGCCATGCCAAGGATGTCCAAAGGGAAGTAGCCTGGTGGGACCTTTATCGGAATCATGACGAGGTCAAGGGATACAGTCACGAGCACCCACCGTAAGTCATTAAAAGATATTGCCGAATGCTTGCGTAGCCAATTTGCTTGGTCTTGTTTATTTGTTTCCACGCCAGGTTGTTTCTTGATTTACTTTTTTCTGCGGGATCAAACTATTGATTTTTTTAGTGCCGTAGTGCATGTCAGAATGCATCATGCTTTGCATGACTTTGTTGTTTCCACTGTGCCCAAAGGCCACATATACCAAAGACCCAAACCCAATTAATAAAATGCTTCGTATTAAATTAGATAAAATCATGACTTAGTTGTGTCGACCGTTTATCAGGTTATGAGTGGAATATGACCCTTCGTGTCTACCAAAAAGCTGAATAAAGTTAAAAATAAATGACTTTGTTTATAGCGCATCGAAAAATAATTAGATCCTTTTTTCTGACAAACTTGAGTCGACTTTTTAACCTCAATAAAACCGTTTGAATTACACGAAGTAGAACGCTTACTGTGGAACCAAGCCTTTCAGATGCGTATCCATTAAAATGGTTTGGTTCACTGCTACGTGCGACCCTCTTTTGCTTGGATGTTCGTGGACTCGACTCGTCCGGACTGGATTGGACTGGTCGGGATGAGGTTCTTCGCGCCGAGATTCCCGTCGTGTTCTTTGGTTCTATTCGTTCGCCCGTTGCGCCCTCTTTCCCTCTTGCGTATGCCCACCGCGCTCTTTCGCTCTCTTTGTTCGCTCGATTTTATTTTCAGTCAATGGCGGTGATGTGTGCACGGTGTTGCACGCCCGTTTCCACCGTAAAATGACGGCACGTTAAACGGATCTTGGGTCGGCCACGTGTGTGGCTTAATGTATCTGATGCCTCTAAACGCACACAAAATGAGGGACAAATGCTACCGCATTTCGTCGAGGCTCAGCGTAGCGACACTACCGATGCAGACATTTTCTGTGTGCTGTACGTAAATTGTAGAATAGTCTGAATTGAGACATTTTTGGCAGTGGTCAGAGGCTTTTTTTTTTAATACCGAAGTACAATGCTATAAAAATGTATCACTAAAACATCTCTACTTTGTATTGTAAAATATAAAAAAGAAACATCGAAAAATGGTCGGTGACAAAACAAAACATAAATTTCGATCAGCCGGTAAATTTCCTCCGAAATATTAAAGTGTACTTGCACCACGTAACCCA